CCCTATGCTGGTGTCACTCCAATCGTCTCTCTGATGGTTCTCGCCACCACGCTAGGATGTGTCTTCCACGAGGTCGTCATCTAGATACGTCAATCATAACCCTAACCATTCGCCTTCCTATGCTACCTTGTTTGGCGATGCGTCCATTATCTTGTTACCCCGCACACTAAATACTGCATTCATTGTCACACCGGCATTCCCTCGTTGTCGTTGCCCAACCTTCAAATCTAACCGCCAATTCTCGAATATCTAACCCTAAAACTCACATCAAGACTTTAAGAGAGTGTTCGGCTGGCATTAAATTTCTACTGTAGCAGCTGGAAAACATTGTTCATGTTGGCATTTGGTGAGAGAAAAACACCACTCCGGCTGAAAAAAAAGGCTAGCCAGCCAGCCGAAGCTGACCAGCCGAACACGTCGTAACTTCCTTAGAAAGAACGGTTTGATTTTTTTATCTGTTTGTCATCCGCTACTACTCCATTCGTCTCCAAATAAATCAATTCCTAGATTTCGACTCTATAGAAAAGAGTAACAACATCTATGACATAAAATGAGCACCCTATGAAAATATATTTTATGGTAAATCTAATGATACTAATTTGATACCATAAGTCTTAACGTTTTTTTAAGAAATTCAGTCAAAGTTTAAAAAGTTTAACTTAAGAGAACTCTAGCAATCTATTTATTCAGGGATAGAGGGAGTATATATTTTAGAAGATAAGAGTTTGTTGTGTTATATTATTAGATTAGTATAGGAGATAATAAACCAGACGAACATTAAAGAAGAGGGCTTGTCAAGAGCAAACGACGCTACTGTTCATTCCCTACAAACAGGACTCCTGTGCTGTTACACTTACAGGAGCGAACAAAGCCGGTACGTACGGTACGTCACCTACCAAAAAAAATGCGTTGTCCAAATTTTTTCCCACAAAACCCTACTTATGCGTTTTACTGTGTGTCCCAGGCTCCCGGCCATTGTGAGTGCATCGCCGTTCCAAAAGTTAAAGGAAAAGCAAGAGCCTAGAACTTCAATTTTGTGTACTCCAGTTTGTAATCATTCTTGCGTGACCAGAAGTATCGGCTTCCTATAACGATTCTGCCGAATGGTCTTGCATGGCCCCCGTGAATTTGTCACGAAACTTCCCCGGCCCATTACTACTACTACTACCCTACTTCGTCGATCGACCGACCGTTGCTGCTAATAGTGGCATGCCAGTACTAAATGAGTTGCAATAAACAGAGAAACATGCATATGCAGGTGCGAGCCGACGTGTTTTCAACCCAAAGTGCGAAGCCAGGCCAGGCCTAGCCTTTTCCCCTTGGCGCGAGAGCTGTTTCGCGAGCCGCGCCCCAGTTTCTCCCCGGCCGGAAAAAGAGGTCAGCCGGCGCCGGCGGCCACTTGGGCACTATGGCCGGCTGCGGCTGGGTGCGTGCGACAGGTCCAGTCCGTCGGCCGTAGTACGTACGTCGCGAACCAGCCGCCAGATGCATGCCGAGAAGTGACCCACGATCGTGCCGCGCCTTTTACGGTCTGCCACTGCCAGGACCACTTTGAGCTCAAAAATCGGGAGTGCCAAAGAAATAAACATCACCCGGTCCACGGCATCTGCCTCTTCACCTTTGCTTTGTGAATGGAGCACCCCAAACAGCAAAAGCTAGCAAAAAAAACTAAATTATTTGGGCATCTCGCTGCTAGTACTTCGTCGTCGTCATCACCGTCATTATTCCAAGTACGCAAAACTGAAGAGAACGTTTTCTGTAAAAGGAAAACTCTGCCTCTTCTCTTCAAAGCGAACCATGGCATGCAGGTGCGGAGCCTTGAACGGAGCTGATGGATTCGTCCTCGAGAAAAAGAGTCGGCGACCATACTGAACCCTTGGGTTTGGAACTGACGATCGGGTTTGGAGTGGAATCTACTACTGCTACCATCACGCTGCAGCATGCTTGAACGGGCCGCGTTAAGCGTGCTCTTAGTTGGACTTGGATCATGAATGGGCAGTTGGCAGCAGTTAGGCAGGGCCATGGTGTCCTTTCGGGTTCATTGTTTGGAGGCCCAGATCGAACAGACGGCGCTCCTGCAACCTGGCCTCCTTCTGGGCCACTTATCTTTTATGGGCCTCCAGGCTTCAGTTATGGTACGTAAAGCCTGCAGAGAAATCGAAGGCAGAAGAAAACCTCGATGCTTTCCCCGGGGTGCACGCAAGATCTCGATTTGCATCGACGCCTCCCATGTCTCGTCTCCTCTCTCCCGCCGCGCCCGCAGCGTCGTCCCGTTCCGCCGTGGTCATGGTCTAATCGCACGGACTGTTAATACGGCGCAAGGTAGTACAATTGTACAGACCGTCCGGCAAGCTGGCGGCGGCGTTCGATTATTGCGGCCCGAACGCAACGGGGTACAACGCGGATCATGTGAGCTGGGTCCGTGCAACTGCAAGCGCCTTCCCGAGCTACGCTTCCGAGTACGTACAAATGGAATTCCTGCATTCTAAGAGATCTTGTTGATTATTTGCCACATGAATTAACAAGCTACGAACCTAACCGAGGCCCTGTTTGGATCAGTTTCAGATTCTTAAAAATCAATTTTTGTCTTTTGTTTTTAAAATCTTGATTCTGAGCAAGAATTGGTGGGTGTTTGGCCCCAATTTTTTAATCTAACTTCATTTATTCCTCTTTGGGTAAACTAGCAAAAACTGGATATCGATAGCTTTCAGGTTTTTAAGAATCTTGTAAAAACTGACAGCAAAAACGGGCCTGTAACTGACAGCAAAAATGGGCCTGTTTTGATCTCACCCGGTTTCCAAACGTCAGATTCTTAAAAACTGGTAAAAATTGAAGATATCAAAACATGGCATGAAGCGTAATGTAGATCAACGGGAGTTCCTGCTGTCATCAGAGTAAAGTGTTCACTAGCCAAACGCGTCGGCAGGAACGTTCTTCGAACTATTGTTATACAGATGTACTGTGTAAGGTTCTCCGACGGAATTCAGGCTGCAGACTATCACTTGACTAAACTAATGTCCTGTGCTAAGTTTGGTACCAACCAGCAGCTGCAGATGTTCAAAGCAACCGAAACTTGAGAACCAGAGAGGAGGTACTGCAAGTGAGCCTACCGTCTGTTGGTAGTGGTATATATAACCGTGTTGAGTTTATTACCCTAAAAAAGTCAAAGCCTACCGTCTGTTGGTAGTGGTATATAAACGTATTGATGAGTTTATTACCCTAAAAAATTCGTAGCCTACCGTCTGTTGGTGGTATATAACCGTATTGAGTTTATTACCCTAAAAAATCACAAGTCACAACCAGCACTGCAACAGCCAATAGACTACTGGGAAGCATCACACCGCATGACGAGCAGAAGAACCAGAACCCGTTGCAATTCTCAGTAGAGTGAACGAATATATATAAGTTAGGGCCTCATTTTTAACACTACAAGGGAGAATCACCCAAAAGGGTGCTTCGTCTGTTTCTGATTCGTCTCCTTCTCATTTTGCACTCTTTTTCTTAAGAGAATCCCAATTTAGAATCTCTACCAAACATTTTCAAAGAATGTGATTGAGAATCACAAAAAAAAAAGTATGTTTGGCTAGGAGAATCCAGAGCCTGCCAAACGTCTGTTGGCATCTTCACTACTATATCCTGAGAGCCGATTTCTGCAGCAAGGGATGAAATGAAATGAAAAGGAGTACCAAAAACGTCTTCTGGCATCTAAGGGGATGAATGCTATTTAGTTCACTACACTGAATGATTGATTCCCGGCAACAAGGGATGAAATGAATGATTTCTGCCAACAAAGGGATGAAATGAAATCTTTTAAGCATAAGTACCAAACAACTTTCTTCTAGCCCTGCATGTAGATTAAGGGGATGAATGCTGATGCTCCGTAAACAATCAATTCTTCAGATTCCCCGTTGGATTCAATCCAACCAATGGGAAGGAACAAAGCGTCCAATTTCAGTGCAGACACTTTGGACTGATTCAGGAAGCGTGACACAAGACAAGTAGAAGAAACAGATCAGCTGCGAATTTCAGTAAGATCATTCCTTATAGAAGATACAACCTCCGTTCTGAATTATAAAACGTTTTGACTTTTCTAGATACATTTTTTTTTTATATATCTAGACATAGTGCGTATTTAAGTGCATAGCAAAAGCAATATCTATAATTTGCAACCGAGGGAGTTGTAGATAGTACCATGTGATTGTCATTTGAATTCTAAAGTACTGATGTAGAGTTCCCTTCATTGAGTCAATACAGTACAGGCGCTCGGAAGGGACAAAAAATGGAAAAAGAATAGCGAAACAATAGTATTGTCTCCAAAAAAAGAAAAATGACATTGTGAGATCCAAGTTTCTTCTGGTCCTGCAGGCTGATATACGTCCTGATGTTCCCTACACAACAATTTCCTCAAGACACCCCACAAGAACAACCAATGGGGTTAGGCGTCAAAGCACCAAACCAACGTCGGCTCCGTGGAAATCATTCATGTATCAAGCCACCAATTTTCAGATGGTGTTTGCACCAGGTCTCCTGTCCAATGTCCCAAGATAATTAATTAGAGCAATAAAAACTAACAGCGGCACTGAGAATATAAAACTTAGACATTGGATTATTGTGATCAGTTCTCTGAAATTACACTCCTTTCGCACTAATGGATCCAATTTTTTATGTATTAACGAGACAAAACAGACCAATCATAGCAATATACATAATGCAAACAATTTTGCTCACTGTTTAAGTGGCAGTAACAGCTACAACTGGCCAAAAAAGATAAAAATTTGCTCATATATATTTTTTTCACATGTTCGACACAAAGCTTGCATCTTTCCCGTGCTTATTTGCCTTGCTACCACCAGATCAAGTCAAAGACAAGAAATGAACAAATTTTGCATCAAACTTGTAAGGGTTGGATCACACATTTGGAGTACACTAGGCAGGGGGGCTGGGTTCAGAACCGACCGAATCGGGCGAGGGCGGTTGGATCATGAGATCCGTCACACTCGCTAGGCCTGGTTGTCAGTCTTGCGGTCGCCGTGCGAGTCGCGCTCCTGCAGCAGCGAGCCGGCCTCCTCGTCGGCCTGCGCCGCCTTCTTCTGTGCCTCCTTGGCCTTGAGCGCCTGCAGCTTGACGTGGTTGTAGTACCCCACCCCGAGGAAGGCGATCCCGTAGCCGAAGAGGTTGATGGGGGTGACGGTGTCCCGGATGACGGACCAGGAGAAGGCGATGAGCAGCCAGTCCTTGACGACGCCGGCGACGTTCATGGTGAGAGCGGAGGTCTTGCCGACGAGCAGGAAGACGGCGAGGTTGAGCGCGAAGGCGCAGAGCGAGTTGGTGCCGAAGACGAAGAGGTCCGGCTGGAAGCTGCCGACGGCGCGCAGCCTGGGCAGCTCGACGAAGACCCAGGGCACGACGAGGAAGGCGAGGCAGCAGGGCGCGACGTAGTAGAGCGAGGTGATGGGGTTGAGGGAGATGCCCTTGGAGGTGAGGAGGATCTGGATGAGGACGAGGCGCGTGGCCTCGAAGGCGACTGCCGCGAGCTGCAGGGCGACGCCGCGGGCGTCGAAGCGGGCCTCGCCGTAGGCGGCAATGGCGACGCCGAACGAGATGGAGAGCATGTTGAGCATGGCGGAGGACTTGAAGGTCTCCTTCTTGAAGAGCACCCCGATGGAGTAGACGGCGACGGGCATGAGCGCCTTGAGCATCTGGATGAAGGAGACGGAGAGGTAGATGTAGGCGGAGTTGGAGAACCAGAGCGAGAGCGAGTAGAGCGCGCCGATGGGCACCACGGAGGAGACGTAGAGCTGCGACGTCATGGCGGGCGAGGACGGGAGGTCGACGACGCGGAGGACGCGGACGAGCGCGACGGCGAGGGAGGAGCAGAAGGCCATGTGCACCATGGTGAGGGAGATGGGGAAGGGCCAGTTGTACATCTTGGGGTCGAGGATGTACTTGTTGTAGACGATCACGGAGAAGGAGAGGAAGATCCACACCGCCACGTACATATACGAGATCAGGACCTTGCGGATCACCGACTCTGACATGCCGCCGTCGCCGCCGCCGCCGCCGCCGCTGGCCCCTTCCTTGCCCATGGCTGGCCTCTGCCCCCCGCTTCCTCGCGCTGCTCCGGTGAGGGGGCGCGGAGGCGGTGGATCTCGACTCTCGAGTGGGTGGGAGATCTGGAAGGGAGGGAGGGAGGGAGGAGGAGGCGGATCTGGAACTGGGAGGGCGGAGGTAGGTGACGGGGCGATTTGGAGGAACTAGATCGTCTGCAGCTGGCCACATAACTTCTCTCTACGGTTGCTGAACATCTGGCCGCTCGTTCTTATCTAACGGTGATCAGGAGAATATGCGCTGTCCCTCAGCTCGCTGGGCTTCGGCCCAATACCAGCACAACCCTTCACGTACGATGGCGCCGGTACTAGGTTTTTGGCGCGAGAGTGGAAATGGCGGGCGCCGGGATCGGAGTTCTGCTGCTATGGTGCTCTCGATCGGTAAGCAGGTGGCCTTATGCACTCACGTCATCTCTTGCTCTGTACTTAAAGTGTTGTTCTAATTTGATTTTTTTGTCCTGGATTTTTCTGAAATTGATCGATTGAAGGAGATTTGATACTGAAGCTTGAAGGGAACATCAACTTGCTTGAATGAAAATAAAATTTGCATATTTAAGATGGAAGAAAATAGGTGTGTAAAGACATGATTGTTTTTCGTGGTCCAACTAATTTGAGAATAGATTGTAATTGTTCAGTTCGCCGCCTAATATCATGTCATCTTTATCTTTTTTTAGGGAGGATTTGTTTTCTAGTCTTTTACCTCAAGTTGGAATGGAGTTCAGCACTATAGATGAGACTTGGATGTTTTGGATTAGCTATGGGGTCAGAAAGGCTTTGAGGTGAGGAAAATCTACACAAACAAAAGAAAGTTATATGGAAAGGTTAGTTCATGCAGATATGTTTGTGCAAATGAGGGTCATAGAAAAGCCAGATAAAAGAGATCATCTAACAAAGTGTCCAAGAGCTAAAACTAGAACCAAGTGTCAAGTTCGCATGGAATTTATAATGGACAAGAAAAAAGGAAATTATAAAGTGACTGATCTGTTTTTAGAACACAGTCATACCCTTCAGTTGCCACAAACCTCACACTTGATGACGTCCCAAAGGAAAATTTCAGAGTTACAAGGTTTTGAAATTGAGACGGCTGACGGTGTAGGAATTGGGCCCAAAGCTGCTCATGAGTTGGCTTGCATCCAAGTTGGTGGCTCAGTTAATCTCAGTTACACTCTTCAAGACCACAAGAACTATTTACGAGGCAAGCGACAACGAGAGATAGCATATGGTCAAGCAGGAAGCATGCTTATGTATTTTCAGGAAAAAATTATCGAGAACTCATCATTTCAATATGCATTGCAGATGGACCGGGAAGAACAGATTGCAAACATATTCTGGGTTGATGCTAAAATGCTCACTGACTATGCATATTTTGGTGATGTTGTCAGTTTTGATACTACTTTTGGTATAAACAAGGAGAGTAGGTCTTTTGACGTATTTGTTGGGTTCAACCATTTCAGGGAAACAGTGGTTTTTGGTGCTGTTCTCATGTACGATGAAACATTTGAATCTTTCAAGTGGCTATTTGAGACCTTCCTGAGAGCTCATAATGACAAGCAACCTAAAACAATATATATTGATCAAGATTATGCAATGGGAAAAACAGTTAAGGAAGTCTTTTTAGAAGCATGGCATGGTTTGTGCACTTTTCACATTATGCAGAACGCTGTCAAGCATCTAGCTGAACTAGATGATGAGGAATCCGGTGCATCTACCAAACAGGAAGTAGAAGACAGCAATAAAGAACCAAGTATTCTCTCTGATTTTAGTGCGTGTATATATGAGTATGAAGATGAAGCAACATTTGAGGATGCATTTAACATCATGAGATTAAAGACAAAAAAGCAAACTTGATTGGATAGTATATACAAGGTAAGAGAAAAATGAACCGAATATTACATGAAGGATGTGTTCACATTAGGGATGAGAAGTACATAGCTAAGTGAGAGTCTGAATAGTGACCTGAAGCGACATTTCAAATCTGATTTTGATATAATCCGATTTCTTAAGCATTTTAAAAGGGTTGTAGAATATAAAAGAAAGAAAGAACTACAATCTGAATTTGAATCAAGAAAAAAATTACCTAAAATCAAAATGAGGACACCTATGTTAATCCAAGCTAGCAAGCTGTACACACCACATATTTTGGAAGCTTTTCAAGGTGAGTATGTGAGGTCAATGGTAGCATGCACCACAACATTAGAATGCGAAAATAAATATTTTGTAGCAATTGGGAGTCTTGATGAAAATTTTACCTTTGAGAAGGAGTACAAAGTTAATGGTGATCCTTTAAAGCAAACCAGTACATGCAGTTGTGGGCAATTCAATAGAATCGGAATACCGTGCGGCCATGCTCTAAAAGTCCTTGATTTGATGAATATCAAAACACTTCCTACACAATATGTACCGAAGAGATGGACACGGGAAGCACACAGTGGAACAGTAGAAGACAACCAAGACCGAAACATAATAGAAAATCCAAAACTAGAAGATATGTTTCGCTACAAAGATATGACTCGCAAATTTCTCCATTTGACACATCGAGCTGCCAGCCATCCAAAGTGCACCTTATTAGTAAACAACACACTTGACATGCTCAGCAAGCAAGTTGAAAAAGAAATAAGTGGTGTTGCAAGTCCTATTGATCCCATCAATGTTCCCACCAATGTTACTCCACCCACTGAATTGTTGAGTACAACAAGACTAAAGAAAAGGAGGTGGAAACAAAAAGCTCGAAGCGAAAAAGAACTTGGCTTGACAAGAAGCGCAAGTTTACAAAAAAAAGGAGGCAACAAAAAAGAAAAAAGTTCAAAGGTGTGTGACAAGAAAAAAAATCAAAGGTGTATGACAAGAAAAAAGAAAAAATGTTCAAAGATATCCGACAACAAAAAATATATCAGATTTCTCTAATCGTATCCATCGTAAAAGTTTCAATTGTATTTAACTATTTGATTCTCTTTAATCTGAAGGAGCAAGAAACTATACAAGTGACGGTCGATAATGGCGTAGCAGTACAAACGTCATCTTTGTCTGAGGAAGGGATTTTTGAACAATACATGGCCATTAATACCTTCTCTGAACTATTGACGGTAATATTTCAAAGTAACAAACCTTTTCTCTGAACCATACATGGCTATGATGTTGAATTATTGTTCTTTTTATTTTTAGGGATCAATGACATATGGTGTTATTGGTGAATTCTAGTAGTACAAATCATGCATGGAATATATGGCTCACCAAAAGCAATGTCATCATGTTCATATATTTTCTAGTTCTGTATTTCAAGTGTAATGTTCAGCAATCTGCTAGCAGCTTTTTGTCACAAATGTTGTTTTAGGCTGGATGACAAAAACATATGATCAGCAACAACTTTTGTGCATTGCATTGACAAATGCATTCCAGAATATTTATATACAAACCAATGTCATCTTACAATGAGTGCTAATTCCTATTGAGTGATAATTTATATTTTGTTAACATTTTTAGTATGGTAGCACCTGAAAGATTTATAGAACAGAACACCTTGAAGCACATTTTACAGTAATAAGCATCTTCCTGAGTCCAGACCACCACGCATGGCTGGCCATGAGGCGGCAGCATCTGTGGCCACTAGGCTGAGCGTCGCGATGGCGGGAAGGTAAACGCCGGCGTGATGAGGAACGGTGTCGACGGCGCAACAGCTTCGTCGGCGATGAGGCTCGTGCGTGGTGGAGGGGAGACGAGCGCCGACAACAACGGCGCGTGCTCCGCCCCTGGCGAGGGCGGCACCGCCGGTCCACTGCCGCGCCGATCTGGTGACGAGAGGTTGGGGGCGCCGCGCCGCTCCGGTGACGCACCTGGAGAGGATGGAGCCGATGCGCCGATCTAGTGCCTGCAACGGAGTAAGAGGAACGACGGCCAGCAACAACGGCGCGCGCGCCGCGCCTGGCGAGGACGGCAGCGCCCGATCCGATGTGGCGCCAGAAGAGGACAGGAGCACCGGGGTGCTTCGGTGAGGTGCCCGGCGACGACGGAGGAGCCGCGCGGCCTGGGGAACGAGCAACGACGGAGGCGAAGGTTGGAGTCGTGAGGGGATAAGAATGGTGTGGGATGGGCTCACATGGACCGGTTTGAGGCCTATTAGTTTAGTTTTCTGGAGCTCACCCTTGGATCTAGTATCAACGGCTTGGATGAGAATCACAGAGACAAGTCGTATTTGTCAACTGCAGATGATCTCGTGCCGATTTGGAGCGGGCGGGCAGGGGTTCTTGCAGACTTCGGGCGGAGCGGAGGGGGATGCTGGCCACGTGGACAATTGCGTTGATGCTTTGATGGAACTTTTATAGGAGCTTCTGTTTAGTGAAGGGTGCTTTGACTTGTTTCCTGGCCCCAGTCGGGTTTTGGGTTCAGACTTCAGGGGCAGAGAGCTTCCTGTGTCGACCGGTGTGCCGCCGGGCCGTGGCAAGTGGCCTCGGAACGGAAACGGGCTTACCGTCGGTGCACCAAAATTTCTAACCGTCCAAGGCCCTTTGGAAAAAAGTCTTTTTTTTGCCCAAAAAAGAACTTTATTAACATCAAGTAGTGTCATTACAGGATAGGGATAAAGCAAACTCAGGAAAAGAAGCAAAAAAAAAAAAAAAGGCTTCTACGACCTGACCTAATAGCGAAATAGGCACGTTCATGAGCTACATTATTCTAACACATACTATTCTTAACCACCTCCAAACTACGGAGCTCCTCCATCTCAACTCGTGCTTCGCGAAACTAAGGACCATGCCACCGATCGGGCCTGCTCATTGTTCTTCAGTTTATCAGCAATCACCATATAGTCAGTTTCAAGCACCATAGGTGTATCAGGCCATCGCGCGGCCAAAAGCGATTCCTTCACGGCACGTCGCTGCTTCGGCTTCTTCGGCATCCCTGCAGTGAAACAATAAGCGCCAAGCTTTTGGAAGAAAGGATTTAAAGTACGTAGAAATAATAAAAACTTATTACGAATGATATAT